TTAATGTCAAAAGTAAGCTGGTGCAAAATTAGAATTTGGACTTTTTCTCTCTCTTAAAAGAATAACTGGGGCCAGCCCAGTGGCAGAGCTGTCAAGTTCACATACTCCGCTTTGGCTACCTGGGGCTTGCCAGTTTGGATCCTGGGCGCAGACCTACACACCAGTCATCAAGCCATGCTGAGGTGGCCTCCAACGTAGAATAACTAGAAGGATGTACAACTAGGATATGCAAATATGTGCTGGGGCTTTTAGGAGAGGAAAAAACAATAGGAAGATTGGCAACAGGTGTTAGCTCAGTGCTAACCTTCCTCAAAAAAAAAAAAAGGATCACTTTCTATAACTTTTAGTCTGCTCTTGATAAAGAGATTATGAAAGGTTTTGTCTTTGAGAAGTCTACCAGAATGGTAGGGATTTTATGTTGTATCGAATTAAATTTCCTGTATTGATTTTATCAAGTCTTTCATCACAGGCGCTAAGGTTTTTCTTATACCTACTTAGTTTTCTGCATTTGCCTGAATATCTTTGTCACCGTGGTTAACTGGATAACTAAGCATTGTTTCATAGGTACCTATGATATTGTTGGGGTAAATCTTATTATAAGTGTTTTCAAAATTCTATAACATTCCTAAAATTCTGATCTCTCCTGGTTATCAGTCATAATTCTAGTCAGCACTTCAAAGTGTTGTATGTCACAAAAATAGCCAAATTTCTTTGTCAATTGCCATTTTAAAATCTTTTGTCATTTACAGACAGTTTTGTTTTATTCTACTTTTGCAAATATGTTTCATCTTCAAAGAGAGTCATGGAAAGGACTCTGACACTTACTCGAGAATACAAGTTTCTGAAACTTTCAGATCATAAAACTGATCTGGGTAAAAAAATTACAGAACTCTAATGGAGAAACTGATGACTTCATGAAAGTGCTAACCTGAGATCAAGATCAAGAGTTGATTACACAGGACTGAATGAACTGATGAGGATGATTATAATTCTTACGACTTTTCATTTGAGATACTGCTGGTTTTTTTAATGTTTTGGTTTTTTTCAGATTTAAGGAAAATTTTCTCTTTCCTCTTAAGCTGACTATGACTTATAGCAATTTGGTAATTAAGCTTTTGTAAGCAGAATTCAAACATTTCTCTTTTTCTCCCTACGTTATCCCTCCAGAATTTGGAAACTCCTAGTGAGTTAATATTGCTATTTTTGTGGCAATATAGTTATTTACATAAGTTCAATAAGAAACTGTCCTCCTTAAAACAGGACACAACTGGAAAATTGATTATATTACCAAAACTTTGACTGGAATGTCACATTTGAGAGAAACAAACAGACTCAGACATGACCAGACAGCTAAGAAACAAAGATTGGACTTTATGGAATAAAGCCACTCGGAAATATTGGCCTGGTACCTTGTTTACAGGGTTCCCAGAAACCTTACCAGATGAGTAAAGAATGTCACTTTCCTGACAGGTGCAAGGAATCTCAGGATATTTGGGGGAACCTCAAGAGAAGACAGGAATCCACCCAAATCTATAGGTATTACAGGCTGAGTCTGATGATAAGTCCTTGGCTTTGCTTTCTTTTGAGAGGCCTTTAACGTCCAGTCTGAGATTCCTCATAAAAAGTTCCAGCTAAGCAGATTTAAAAGGGCCTATATGATCAATTGCTATTCTTGCTGTAATTATGTAAATAATTGGGCCAAGTTTATTGAAACTATATTTATTTTACAAACCAATGAGTGTTAATTTAGCTATCTTTGGTAAAAATGAGGGTGATCTTAGAGAAAAAAATTATGTTTCAGTAGAAACTATAATACACACTTGTTGATATTAGATTCTAGTTCTATTAATTGTCTTTGAGGTTTTGGTTTTCTACCTGTAAACTGGACTGGATCTTAAATTCTTCTAGATTCCTCAAATATCTGGCTATAAATCTCCAAACTTACTAGCCAGAGGTGTAATATAGTGGGGGTATCAGGGGCCACAGAGAACAAGCAGTTTATTAAACCTTTAAGCTACAAGTTAGGTGAAAAACAGTTAACCCATTCCTTTCTATATGTGCCAGAATGCCCTATTCCTTTGCTGGGTAGGGACCTACTACATAAAGTAGGAGCCTCCAATTATTTGAAAGGGGACCAATTGGAGGTAAATGTCCCCTCAGCCTTTGGTCACCAGCTGATTATGCTCCTGACAAAAGGGACTGAGTCAAAAGATTTAAAAGGAAACTTAGGGGCCAGCCCTGTGGCATAGCAGTTAAGTGCATGCGCTCCACTGCTGGTGGCCTGGGTTCAGATCCTGGGCGTGCACCAATGCACTGCTTGTCAGGCCGTGCTGTGGTGGCATCCCATGTAAAGTGGAGGAAGATAGGCACAGATGTTAGCCCAGGGTCAGTCTTCCTCAGCAAAAAAAAGAGGAGGGTTGGCATGGATGTTAGCTCAGGGCTGATCTTCCTCACAAAAAAATAAAAAATAAAAAAATAAAGGGAAACTTAATGGAATTACCAGAGGTAAATCCCTGAGTTTGGGCCCAAGGAAGAGCAGGACATGCCATCTGAGAAGAACCCATGATTGCCAAACTAAAACCTAGGCAGAAGAGCCCAAATGTTAAATAATATCCTCTCAGACAGACTGCCCTAAACAGCATGGCCCCTGGCATAAAGAATTTGATCGATCAAGGCCTCAGGAGACCATGCCAATCAGCATGCAACACTCCAATCCTCCCGGTCAAAAAGCCAACTGGGGAATACCAGAGGTACAGGAGAACAGCTAGAGTATGCCCTCCAGATAGGGAAAACAGTGAAGGCACTCAGCGTATGGCAACCAGCCCAACAGACCTGGCCCTCCATCCCTTCTAGCCTGGTGATTGGCTATACCTAAAAACATGGAAAACTGGGACCCCACAGGACCAGCTCACTCCTAAGTGGAATGGGCATTATCTGGTGATTCTTACCACTCAATCTGCCCTAAAATTACAGTGAGTCACCCCTTGGGTGCACCATACACAAGTCAAGAGAGCCCCCGAACCAGAAGACTTGGAAACTCCAAGCCCTCCTGACTTCTCCTATGAGCCCCTCTCAGACCTGAAGCTCTTATTCCAGAGACACAAAGATAAGTCCTTGGTGGGCTGGCATCCTACCCCCATGGAGGTGCTGGGACTCCTTCTTCTATCATCTCTCATGACTATACTTATCCTCACCCTGACCTATGCTGCCCCTGGAGTGCCTATTACCCACAGCACCTCTAGGCTACAAAGACAGGCTAACTGGTTAAATGAAAAAGGCCAAGCAGACCTAACCACACAGATCTGGAATGCGGTTGAACAGGCTCTTCCCAGCCTGACTTGGTTTCCACCACTTTTTTGGCCTCTGGTGGCTATTTTGCTTCTTCTACTCTTTGGACCTTACATTCTAAACTGTCTGGTTTTCTTTGTTGGCAAAAGACTAGAATCTATTAAACTCTAACTGGTATTAACCCAGGGATATGAGAGGTTGGCAGTTCAACCCGGTGACAACCAAACATATCTAAAAATTGCTAGGGATAAGTTCTGCTCCTCTATGGGCCCCAGTGACAATGCCCCTGGTCAGCTGGAAGTAGTTACGGAAGACAGACCTTCATCCATTGACCCCCATGAATGAGGAGCAGGACATGGTCAGAGGAGGGATTTTGTCACCCAGAGAAGTCCCTAAAAGACTTTCCATGTCTAATGCTTTGTTTTTAAGTTGTGCTTGCTTACAGGGACCAAGGTAGAACATTGTCAGGTGGCCAAACAGCAGAACCGGTCCAAACCGGAAAGGCCCAAGATGGCGATGGGGTGCCAAGCGCAAAAGGAAACGTGTGCAAAAGGTGCCGCGTGCAAGAAGGGAAGATCTGCGCATGCCCCAAATGCCCCCTTCACATCCCATAAGAACGCTGCTCACCTTCCCTTCGGGGAGAAGGTGTTTTAGAGCATCAGCTCTGCCTCCTCCATTCATGGATCAATGATTAAACTTTCAGCTCTGCTATTCCGACCCAATCTCGTTCTACTAGCGCAAGCAGCTCCGAGCAAACGGAGCCATTCGCAGGTGACTGGTCCCTTAGGGCTCGGAGGCAAGTCCACTTGGCCAGTGCCAGTGAGTCTGTAGGACTCCGGCTGGAAATAGCTGGAGGACGTGAAAAGACCTTAGCGCTGGGAATTGGAAGATCTGACTTTATGCTGGCATCCCTCATTGACTGTATGAGCTTGGGGACATTTTCACATCTCTGAGCCTCGGTTTTCTTGGCTCAAAATTGGAGGAAGGGGTAGACTGAATGGTCCTTTCAATTCTAATCTCTAAACCTATGAACACCCAGGAAGTAGGAAAGGATGAGTTTCCTTATTGGACAAAACCCCATTGGTCCTAAATGTTCCCAGGCTCCCTTGCCTTGGAAGGTCCCCCCAGAACAGTGGGGAACACTGGCTTTCCCAACCATGGACAGCCCAGGATCTCCGGAGCCCTCTGAGCACCTGGCCCAGCCGCTCATCCCTGCAGGCAGGACTGGTCCTTAGTCAGGGAGCCCTGGTGTTGAGGGCGCAGATTAGTGACAGCAAGGAACAGGACTCAGGGTCACACCCCAGGGACTCTAGTGTGCTCTGGGACTGGTATGAGAGGGGATCTAGCAGAATGAGATCCCTAGCTCTTCTCCAGGCAACAAGCTTTTTAATTTACCTGGTCAGGCACCCAAGCCCAGGAGGAGGCTCATGACCTCTGTACAGACAGCAGCAGCCAGCTGTCCACAGTCCAGACAGCCCTTTGTGCCCTTTCTAGACAGCCCCTCCTCGGGGCTCAGGGACCTGTCTGGCTGCTGAGCTCCCAGGTGGTCCGAGGGGTGTGACCTCCCTTCCTTCCTCCCTCCCACCGCCCAGGCCCAGCCCAGGGCTGGCTACAAAGCTGGCCCAGCCTGGCTCTCAGCACACCCCCTGGGACCCTCCTGCAGCGTCCTCAGGGGACACATTGCCCGGACCCTCCTCCTCCTGAGCAGCACCATGCAGCCCCTGTGGCTCTGCTGGGCACTCTGGGTGCTGCCCCTGACCAGCCCGGGGGTGGCCCTGACCGAGGAGCAGATCCTGGGCAGCCTGCTGCAGCAGCTGCAGCTCAGCGAGGTGCCCGTCCTGGACGAGGGCGACGTGGAGGAGCTGGTCACCCCGGCCCACGTGGGGGCCCAGTACGTGGCCCTGCTGCAGCGCAGCCACGGGGCCCACTCCCGAGGGAAAAGGCTCAGCCCGAACTTCCGGGGTGAGGCCTCCCTCCCTGCTGCACCCTGGTCCCTGGGGAGGGGGCTGAGACTGCATGTGCCCATCCGGGGAGGCTGTCTGGGGGCCCGGGGCCCACGGGACAGTGAGGAGGGACCGTGGACTGTGAGGACGGCTGGGCCTGGGCCCCTGTCTGCACTGAGGGCCCCACCCAGTGTGCAGGCTGGACCCGCTGCCAAAACCCAGGCAAGAACAGAAATCCACAGGGAGGGGAGCAAAGAGGAAGGAGGGGAGGGCAGAGAGGAGAAGACACACTGGCCAGAACTTCGTGCTGTGGACACAGAGGCTGGCCTCAGCAGAGAGCTGCCTTAGAGAGAAAGGACCTCTGGTCAGTTCTCAGCTCTGACATTTGTTGTTCTAACATGGACAAGTCACAGAACATCTCTGAGCCTGTTTGCTTCTCTGGAAATGAGGTTAAACTGGCTGTGAGACTTCCCAGGGTCGTGGGCAATAATGGGATGTAGGGGGCGATTTCATCATTTTAAAGTTCATAGTTTGAAAAAAGGCCTGTTGGGGATGTGGGGCCTGAATCCCCCTCACTCCCTGGGGCCAGGGCTCAGCTCCTCAGCGCTCAGAGCTAGACCCACACTCATCCGGCTCTGCAGCCAGGCCGGGTCCCGGGGGAGACAGGGAGAACGGTCCCCAAGGCCTCAGCAGAGGCGAGTGCTGGTGGCTGCGGGCTGCTCGGTGATCACAGCGCCAGCCTGGAGCCTCGGGTGTTAGGGACACGCTGCCTGTGGCCTCTGACAGTGGTGCTGGACCTGTCCCCACCATTGACCTCAGGGCTCAGTTGTTTCCAGGCCCCGGCCCCTCTTCCTCCTCTTGGGGCATGAGCCCCCTCTCCAGAGAGGGAAAGGAGAGTAAAGGTCGGGCTCTTCCTCTGCCCCTTAGGACAGCCGGGGTCAGCTGGGGCCCACAGACTTCCCCGGGCTGGGTTCTCCGCCCCCCACCCCCGTTGCTCCCCTTCCTGCCCGCCCCCTCTGTCTAAAGAAGGCTGTCCGTCTGCTCTGCGCCTGAAGCCCCAGCCCTTGGCTCAGGGTCCCCAGCTGACCGGCCAGCGGAAGGGGGAGGTCGCCGGCGAACAGCCCCACTCCAGACGACTGCTGTAGGAGACTGGGGCTGGCCCCAGAATTTCTTCAGAGAAGGGGGAGCTCCCTTTCCGTCCTGGCGCACCAGTTTCCCAGCCCCAACTCCTCCCTGTGGGTGACTGGGGAACTCTGTTCTCTGGCCCCGGGCCCTGCCACCCTCAGAGCTCCCCTGGCGCCCGCAGAGGCCCCTGACCCGCTCGTGTCCCCAGAGGTGGCCGGCCGGCTCCTGGCGTCCGAGGCC